AGGAAGGTCGGCTGGGCAGGACGACGGGCAGGGCCGGGCAGGAGGAGAGTCAGAGCAGGAGGACAGGCAGGGCAGGCAGGAGGACAGGCAGGGCAGGCAGGAGGACAGGCAGGACAGGCAGGACAGGCAGGAGGACAGGGCCAAGGCCAAGGCCGCGGGCAGCGCTCCGGGCCGAGGCTCTCGGTGCCCGCCCCGCTCCCGCCCGCTCTTCCCCCTCCGTGCCGATCCCCCCGGGGCTCCGTGAGGGCAGGGCAGGCCCAGGGACGCGAGTCCTACCTCAGGGGGCGGCCATGGCGGGGAGGACACGGGGACACAGGAACTACGGCAATTAGAAGAACTACAGCAATGACAGCAACTACAGCTCCCGGCAGCGGCCGCGGCACGGCCGGGAAGGGGCCGCTCCGCCCGCCGAGCCCGCCCCGAGCGTGACCGGGATTTTTTTTCCCTCCAAAATCCATGGATCTGCGGTACAGCTGGAGCAGCTCTGCTGGGAGGAAAGGCTGGCACAGCTGGGATTGTTCAGCTGGACAAGAGAAGCTTTGGGGGGACCTGAGTGTGGCCTTGCAGGGCCTGAAGGAACTCCAGGGAACAGAGAGAGACTATTCCCAAGGGATGGAGGGACAGGACACAGGGAATGGCTTCAAACTGCCAGAGGGCAGGGAGAGATGGGATATTGGGAAGGAATTGCTGGCTGTGAGGGTGGGCAGGCCCTGGCACAGGTTGGGCAGAGAAGCTGTGGCTGCCCCTGGATCCCTGGAAGTGTCCAAGGCCAGGTTGGACGGAGCTTGGAGCAGCCTGGGCTGGTGGAAGGTGTCCAGTTTCATTTATTTTTTTTACCACGAGCAAAACAAAAAGTGCCCGAAACGCAGCGCCAGGCACGGCTGAAGCGCTTCAGCCAAAACCTTCCAAAAACCAAGGAGCCCACGGGATGGACAGCCAGCTCTGGAAATCTGAGTTGAAGTGGTTTAAGTCTGGCAGGGTGAATAGGAGCTAAACCCAGAGCCTTACAAATTGGAACGTGTTTTTTAATAGTAGAAGTGACACTGCTTCTGCTTCTCGTTTACCGCCCAAGAGCCGGTGTTGTGATGCTTCAGCCTCACAGCAGGCAAAGCATCTTAAAAACCCGTTTCCCAGCCAGTGGAAAGCAGGAACCAACGTGAGAATCCCTCGGGAAGCGGCAGAAATGGGACAGCTTGGATAACTGAGTGTGGAAATTCCAGAAGGTGAAATCTGGGGGGGGTTTTACACCGAGCCCTGACTGGTGAGAGACATCTGGTTGTGAGCAGAGCTCCACCATCCAAATGCATCCCAGATTCCTCTGGCAAACCAGGGAGCAGCAGGAGGGTCGGCTTGGCCAGCTGTGGATTTCAAGACAGAGGATGAAATGAAAATGGGAGTCAGAGCATTAAAAAATGGTTTGGAGTGAACGTGGGCAGGGATAAGTCGCCTCCTGTGATTCACATCCTAACACATCGTTCACTCAAGAAATGCACTTTTGGCCACTAATTCACAGTTGTTCCCAGGTGGGAACATACAGATCTGCTTCTGGATTTGGGGGAAAAAAAAAATAGTTGAAATAATCAAATAATTCATTCTCTTGGTTTTATTTTCCCGAGGAACAGAATCTCAGAGCGAAGCACAATCGGACATTTTTTCCTGGGAGTTTCACAAGGAGCTGTGCCAAGGTCCTGATGGGAACCAGTAAGGGTTGATGGGAACCAGTAAGGTGGATGGGAACCAGTAAGACTGATTGGGAACCAGTAAGGTAGATGGGAACCAGTAAGGTGGATTGGGAACCAGTAAGGTGGATTGGGAACAAGTAAGGTCAGTGGGAACCAGTAAGGTGGATGGGAAGCAGTAAGGTGGATTGGGAACCAGTAAGGGGGATGGGAAGCAGTAAGGTGGATTGGGAATCAGTAAGGTCAATGGGAACCAGTAAGGTGGATGGGAACCAGTAAGGTGGATTGGGAACCAGTAAGACTGATTGGGAACCAGTAAGACTGATTGGGAACCAGTAAGACTGATTGGGAACCAGTAAGGTGGATTGGGAACCAGTAAGGTGGATGGGAACCAGTAAGGTGGATTGGGAACAAGTAAGGTCAATGGGAACCAGTAAGGTGGATGGGAAGCAGTAAGGTAGATTGGGAACCAGTAAGGGGGATGGGAAGCAGTAAGGTAGATTGGGAACCAGTAAGGTAGATGGGAACCAGTAAGGTCGATTGGGAACCAGTAAGGGGGATGGGAAGCAGTAAGGTAGATTGGGAACCAGTAAAGTAGATGGGAACCAGTAAGGTAAATGGGAACCAGTGAGGTGGATGGGAACCAGTAAGGTAGGTGGGAACGAGTGAGGTGGATAGGAACCAGTGAGGTGGATTGGGAACCAGTAAGGTGGATTGGGAACGAGTAAGGTGGATGGGAACTAATAAGGTAGATGGGAACCAGTAAGACTGATTGGGAACCAGTAAGGTGGGTGGGAACCAGTAAGGTGGATGGGAACCAGTAAGGTGGATGGGAACCAGTAAGGGGGATGGGAACCAGTGAGGTGGATGGGAACTAGTAAGGTGGATTGGGAACCAGTAAGGGGGATCGGAACCAGTAAGGTGGATGGGAACCAGTAAGGTGGATTGGGAACCAGTAAGGTAGATGGGAACCAGTAAGGTGGATAGGAACTAGTAGGGTTGGTTTCCTCCGTTATACATCGACCTGTGTGTTAATTCCATGAACAGTTTCCCAGCTCTTTACAATTCCAGTGGGTTCCCTGTGTGTGACTCCACGATTTCCTCACCGCTGGCGCTCCCTGAGGCTCAGGGTGACTCTGGGCTTGCTTTATCCCTTGCCCCCAGATTCTCGTGGATCACACACTTCAGGTCTTCCGGGTTGAGCACCTGGTTTTTGTACTTCTCCCCCCAGTCCTCCACGATGTACTGGTGATAGGGGTCGTTGGAGTGCTCCCTCCTCTTGGACTTCACGGTGCTCACTAGGATGGCCACAATGATGAAGGAGAACATGCCGATCATCACCATCAGGTACAGGATGACGTAGTCGAAGTTCTCGGCGGCCACCTCGGCCTGCAGCTTGTTTGCTGCCTCCGTCATGTTTCTCCTCCAGCCGTTCATGTAGTTGAGGAAGGTGTCCTTGAAGATGTCTTCCACCGCCCAGGTGAAGTTCTTCATTTCAGCCATCCCTGCCTGCAGGCAAAACGCTGATTTTAATTAAATACTGGTAATCAAACGGCTGCACTGCTGTCTTTGGTCTGTGTGATGACAGCTGATGAGCCACACCCACCCTCTGCTGCTTGGAAGGGCCATTGTAGGGCAGCTGAGAACACCCATCTCTGAGGGCTTCAGTGTGTTCAGAGACCCAGGGGGGGCCTTACTCAGAGTCATGGCACGGTTGGGGTTGGAAGGACCTTGAATATCATCCAGTTCCAACCCCCAGCACCTTCCACTAGCCCAGGTTGCTTCAATCTGGCCTTGGACGCTTCCAGGGATGGGGCATCACAACCTGTCTGTGCCAGGGCCTGCCCACCCTCCCAGCCAGCAATTCCTTCCCAATATCCCATCTATCCCTGCCCTCTGGCAGTTTGAAGCCATTCCCCTTGTCCTGTCCCTCCAGCCCTTGGAAATAGTCTCTCTCCACCTTTCCTGGAGCCTCTTCAGGCCCTGCAAGGCCACAAAGGAGGGCAAGGCTGACCTGCATCCATATGGACACAGGGAAGTGAATTCCTTCCATTCTTCAGGCCAACCAAGCCCTCCAAGCTCCCCCAAAAAAAGCCCCTTGATCTCGGTGCAACCCTCAAGCAGCGAGGAGTTTGCTGCAGCCTGGGGCAAGAGGTGGTGGATTTTCAGGTTCATCAGAAATTAGGGTGTCTTTCAAACTGGAATTCAGGAATTCCTTGGCTTGGTGGCCCAGCCTTGTGTGCACACACGGAAGGATGAAGGTCCCCATGCAGATTATACTGAATTATATGAATTCAGATTATACTGAAATTATTCTCTCAGACATGGGGGATAAAGGTAATTAATGAAAGTATAAGCATAAAAAAAGTATAATACAAAGTGCCCCTTGAAACTTTTCCCTCTGTAAAATCTCCCTGCTTTTCCTTTGATTTGGAACAAAATTTCTCTGCTTTTCCAAGAGGAAATATAGAATTACTGACATAAACTTTCCTGTGTCCGTAAAAATCTGTAAAATCTCAGCTTTTGCTCTGATCCAGAACAAAAATTGCTCCGCTCTTCCAACAGGAAATAATTACAGAGAGAAACTCACCTTTCCCGTGTCCTTTTCCGGGAGATTCACTCAGGATTTCCAAATTCCACTGGCTGAGCAGGTGACAATCTCCGAAAGGGAGCAGCAGCCTGCAGCCTGCCCGGGGCTCTGAGCAGCTGCAGGTGCCTTGCACTGCACACCTCCTGTGGATATGGAATGAAAAGCTAAATCTAATCTGCCCTGGAAAGTCAAATATTGGCTCCCATCAGAGCCCCAGGGGGGTGCTGGGAAAGGCTCTTGGTGCTGCTTGTGGCCGATTGAGGTGTTTTCAAAGCATTTCTCTGCCTTACTGGGGGTGGAGGGACCTGCAGCTCCATCCAGAGGGGCGAGGGAGAATCGTTAGGGTGGGAATTGTTCCCTGTGAGGAAGCAGGGAATTCCTGAGGCAGGGAATTGCTGCTGTTCCAAGCAGTTGGGTGGGTTCTGTGTTGGAAGGGGCTTTCCATGCCCAGGGCAGGGTGGTTTTCCCACCACACTCTCGGGGATTTGTTGTTGCTCCGTGTGGTCTCTGTGGCCCCGGGATTTGCTGTGGGGACACTTCAGGCCTGGGCTCTGCTCTGTCCTCCTGCCTTCCCTCTTCCCAGGCTTTTCCCTCAGCTCCTTTTGGCACTGCAGGGGGTTTTCTGCACCGTGTGTTTGGGTGTTTTGGGGCCACAAAGACCCTGCAGGGTCGTGTGTGAGGCCCAGCAATATTTGAGGGACCCCGTGGAGGCACCAAGAGGATCCCAGGGCTGGAGCAGCTCTGCTGGGAGGAAAGGCTGGCACAGCTGGGATTGTTAGCTGGACAAGAGAAGCTTTGGGGGGACCTGAGTGTGGCCTTGCAGGGCCTGAAGGGGCTCCAGGAAAGATGGAGAGAGACTATTCCCAAGGGATGGAGGGACAGGACACAGGGAATGGCTTCAAACTGCCAGAGAGCAGGGATAGATGGGATATCGGGAAGGAATTGCTGGCTGGGAGGGTGGGCAGGCCCTGGCACAGGTTGGGCAGAGAAGCTGTGGCTGCCCCTGGATCCCTGCAAGTGTCCCAGGCCAGGTTGGACGGGGCTTGGAGCACCCTGGGCTGGTGGAAGGTGTCCCTGCCCATGGCAGGGGGTGGAACTGGATGGGCTTTAAGGTCCTTTCCAACCCAACCCATTCTATGATTCTGTGAATAATACAATATCAATAATAATAATAATAATTCTTCATTATTATTATTATTAATATTATTATTCCCATGGCTAATTTGTGCATGAGAGGCGAGCACAGAGCAGGGCAGCGAGAGACCTGCCTGTCAGGCTGCTCAGCACCCAAAATGTGACTTTCCTTTCCCTTCTCCCACCAGGATCATGCCTATTAAGTGTCCAACCCTTCCACAAAGCTAATCCTCTCTTGCCCAGACACTCCCTGGTTGGTGCTGGCTGGAGAAATCAGTGCTGTTAGAGGAGCCCTTTCCGCAGCCTGCCTGTGGAATAGGAGAGGAGCCACAGCCCTGGAGGATTTTGGGAATAACCTCCCCAAACCAGAGTGAAATTTATCCCTCCTTCAACCCAGTTCTTCTCCCACCTGTTCCTGGCCACTCCTGCTTGCTTGACACTTGCAGTGTCACAGGTAAAACATACTTATTTTATATATACGTATCTCTCACAAAAAGATGCAGACATGGAGTTTAACTGGAAATTCCTGAAGGTTCCTGGGATAATCCCACTGGAAATTCCTGGAATATCTGAGCTGGAAGGACCCCCAGGGATCATCCAGTTCAACTCCTGGCCCTGCCCAGGGCACCCCAACAATCCCCCCCTGTCCCTGAGAGCGTTGTCCCAATCCTCCATTGGTTGTTTCCCTTCATTCTCTACAAGAAACAAACTTTGCATTTTATTTTCAATCACCAGCTGCTATTTTTGTACTCTTTTTTTGGCCATAGTTTCCCCTAATTTTCTTTAAAGTGAGGGAATCACTCACAGATAACTTACAGGGTCTGTAACTTGGGAGCATGAATTTTAGAGGGTTAATTCTTAGAGGGAAAAAAAAAATAAATGGAGCTGCTCAATGTGATTACTGGGGAATTATGAGCATCCTTTAATATATCCCTGGGTAATTTTCCTGTGGCTTTTCTTCTGTTCTGGTTAAATCACAATATTGCACCATTTCCTGGGCTTTACAAACCTCCAGCCTTTGTATACACAGACTTAACTCAGCCTCAGAGAAAGATTTTATAGCTTGGCTTTAAGTGTGCCTGTTGAAACCTCTCCTCTTCAGATTAATCAAAATGACATCTATTAATTAAGTTCAACCCTTTCCTTTCTGTTGACTTTCCTTCATAATCCAATTTTTACTATAGCTTAAGCCATTTCCCTGCTCCTTTATTGTAAGTGTTGATAATTAAAGATGCTGCCCCTTTATTTTTCCTTTGCAGCTTTGCTTCCACGTCCCTTCCCTGTTCCTTCAATTTTTGTACCAGGCTCTGGCTCAACATTTCACTCTTCTTGCCCCTGTTCCCCTTTAAGAATTCCCCCAAGAAAATCCCCAATTCTTTCATTCACTTTCTGCCTTCACCCCATGAAGGATAAGCAGGATTTTCTCTCCCAGGATAAAGGATTTTAGGATTTCTCCATCATTTCCTATGTTTTTCAGCACACCTGGGAGTTTTGATACCTTGCCCTGTACAGGTTGGGGTTTCCCCTTTCAAAGAAGAAACCCTTTTGCAATTATTTCTTTCTTGTGTGACTGCTCTTCCATCTTTTGGGGAGGAACATTTAGAGGTTTCATCTGCAGCTTATTTCCTGGGGCTTTTGTCTGCTCAATAAATACATTTACTGGTTCAACAGTTTGTTTTTTCTGAGAGATCTGGAGACTTTATTGTGTGTTATAGAGTTTGATCACCTATTGTAACACCCTGGGTGTGTTTGCAGAGTATTAATTCCTTCCCAATATCCCATCTATCCCTGCCTTCTGGCAGTGGGAAGCCATTCCCTGTGTCCTGTCCCTCCATCCCTTGTCCCCAGTCCCTCCCCAGCTCTCCTGGAACCCCTTTAGGTCCTGGAACGTGGTTTCAGGTCTCCACACAACCTTCTCTCCTCCAGGTGAACCCCCCCAATCACCTGCTCTGCCCCCCATTTCAGCAGCAAGGAATCATCCAAAGGAAGTAATTCCTGCCACAGGAATCGATCCACCTCTCCTGCTTTGAATCCTTTGCTAAAAGCAGGGGGAATTCCCCAGGGAGGGGGTTGAGGAGAGCAAGGAGGTCCTGCCCAGAAACGCTCAGCTCCCCCCAAAGCCCAGGCTGGAGAAGCGGGAGCAGGAGGATCCTGCGATCCCTCAGCTTTGTTGCCATGGTTTTCTGGGCTGCCGTCTCAGGAGCTTTAGGGGATAAATGAGGGTGTTGCCTCCCCGTGGCGTTGAGATGCAAAAGCAAACACATTTCGCCACCTTCCGTGCTTTGCTTGGGGTGAAATTCGCTCCTCGGCCTCTCGGAGATGGCAGCAAGAGGGAAAATAAACACCTTGCCAAAGAGCAGCCCCCAGGGAGGGATTTGCTGGGGACACAGAGCCCTGCCCAACAAGCTGCCTGTAAAGGGGCATCTCCGGGTCAGCTCTGGACAACAGGAGCTGCTTGGCCTCCAGCAGACCCGAGGGGAGGTGTTTTTTGGGCTTGCAGTGGGAAGCAGTCGACAGTAATCGCAGCCCAGGTGTGCAGCAGTCACGGGCGTCGTGTCACACCCGCCCATCCTCACAAGCAGAGCCTGGGGTCTCCCTCACAGGGAGCTTGGGGAGGATTGGGGAATGGGAACTGGGGGGAGGCACCACTGCTGGAGCCACATCTCACTGCCCAGCCCTGTCCCCATAAAGCAGAGGGAAGGGACAGCAGCAGTTGCAGCAACAGGCCCTGGGTTTGGTCACTGATTGCAGCAGCTCCTCTGGGCAGGGGCAGCTCCAGCTCCTGACAGGGCTGGATCCATCCCCACAGCAGCA